ATCTGGCCTACCTTTGCAGTTAAGTGTTCGAGGGTTTAAACGGGCAATCCAAAGTGGAGGTAATTGATTCGTCACTTGAGTCAACTTGTTAAATTACTCGTTTAATCTTTGACACGATTGAGGGATGGATAGATTTGTAAACGGTATGAGATGAATTAATTGTTTTGAAAATTAGGAAAGGAGATTCAATAATAATCGTTATGATATTTTCAAGTTGAAATTTAAACTCTTATTTCTCTGTATGGATCAATGGATCTTTTTTCAAAATACAAAAAAAGAATATATATAAAAATAGTAGTTGATCGAATAATTTCATTGAATAATACAATGTAATTATGACAACTCAAAAATCTTTAAAAGAATAGAAAATAGGGCATTTACTGTAGATTTTTAACGAATAAATAACACCTATTTCACTTGACAATTTGCTACAATTTAATGCTTCACAATTGGAGGCTGTTACATTTATAGCAATTAGATGCTTCTATAATATTCATTTAATAATCACAAGTCATCTGGAAATAATTTAACGTCGTCATTTTCAAGAAATAACATTTTCTTTTATGTAAAAATAATATTGAATAAAGAAATTTATATCAAATTTGCAACATATTGAAAGAAATTGAACCTCAACATAATTTTTCACTTTAAAATGTGTAAATAAATTCAATAAACCCATAACCCATTTATCTCCTCATAATCATCAACAATTTTTATCTAACCACTGCTATTAAGTCCAAAAATATGAATTTCTTAAATTTCTTATTCATTTATCCTTATAAAATAACCATACACGATTCTGATTCTTTCCTCCTCATAATAACAAATGAAAACGATGCTCAATTCAAAACTGACAGTCTGCTCACACGGCTCACGCGAGAAACGCCAGGAACACGCCAAAGATGCACTACTACCCCGTGGTAGGGTAACACACACACATACACACACACGCGAAACCCCCTCGCGCGAAATCTGCATAAATCCAACGAGTCGAGTTGGCCGAATTAATCGCACGTTAACAACGCGAGTGTAAATAAATCAATAATTTCATTAAACAGGGGGATAGGAGGGGGGATAGTGGGAGGGAGGGGTTCCGCATCGAGCCACGACCCGTTCCATAAATTATGTCGATTGGCGGGCCGCCAATGATGCGAATTATCGATTGCATCCAAATTCAGAAATATCCAACCACGCGCTCGAGGACGCGTGCCTCGACTCCTCCATTTGAAAATCGGGGGTGCCGTGATTACGGTACGCGGAGGGGGAGGGGGGACGGAGCGTTCTCCGTGGTTTTCCACGCGAACGAGTCACGCGTCCCCCGATGATGGAGATGGCACATTTAAACCGTATTACACCGTGGACGATGGTGCTTGGGACCGCCACGCTGCGACATTTTCAAACTCTATCCGTGATCCGCATGAGGGATATCGGAATATGCTCGGCCACGCTGTGGTCTCGTGTGTGTACCCGGCAAATAAACTATGGCTAGTTTAACACGTTCTGTGTACGTATGGTCAAGAGTGTAATGTGGGGGAAATATTTGGATATCGTGGATATTTTGAATTTTTTGTTTCATCAGAGAGGGGAGAAAATTAGAAGAAGAGGGATTGAATTTTTTGAAGTTGGAAGAAAATTATATATTTATAGTTAATTCTCGTTAAAAATTAATTATAATTAAATATTATAATTATTTATTAATTAAAATTAATTATAAATAATTCTCGTTAAATCTTCGTATATAGAAAAACGTGAGTTGTAGATGATTGAAAATATTTAATCGAAAAAGAGAGATCTGGTGTTCTTCTATCATTCTTTGGAGAGAGGATTTGAAACAATTGGTAAAACGTAGTAGTAATACGAGAAATACGTTTAACCGATTTAGTTCCGGTACAGTTCTTTTGAATCTAACAACGAGCAAGAGTAGCGACTGCTATGGTCGCGCGAAATTTTCAATGGAATACGAAATAGGTGTATGCAAACACCGGTTCTATTTCTGATACACGTGACGCTATTGTGGGGCGTTTGCAATGCGTTACAAACGTCGTATCTACGCCACGCGGTAAACTCTCTTCGAATGGGCCGGCAAATTTTAAAGTGGCATTTTACCAGCAAGCTTTCATTTTAAGATTCGTTTTCGAATCGAAGGAATTTGAATATTTTGTTTTTTTCCTTCCATTTTGTTTTTAACGAGAGGCTTGCACAATTCCGAAAGATCGAAATAAATAGGAAATAATAAAGGAGCTTTTCAGGAAGGAATTCTTGCCGTCAGGTCAGGTTAGTTTAAGTTATTAAAAAAAGTGAATACTTCGTTATTTTCCACAATTTTTAACGAGAGACTTGTAAAATTATGGAACGTTGGAAGTAATAATAAAGAAGCTTTCCAAAGTTTTGTAGGTTAGGTTATTAAATCTAATAGATTTATGGTTTTTTTTTCGCAACGTTTCTTTAATTATTTTGTGCTTGGAAAATGAGCAGTGAGTTCCATGTTGAAAATATGGAACGAGAAATTTTTATATCACGAGGTATATTCTAGAAATTAAATAAACATAAGATTTTTGAAGAATTGTTTCGAACTTGACGAAACAGCAGTGATAAAGATATGCCTTTTCATTATTCACAGTACTCGAAAAATTATATTACAACAGCTAATTATACTATTATATATTATATTATTTTGTCCAAATTACATATAAACTTGTTTCCCTATTAATTATATTCCAAATTCTTAAGTATATAAAATGTAACTTTATCCACTCTTCTTTCTATTCTAAAAAAAAAAAAAAAAAAAAAAAAGAACCGCAACCGAAACTTTCAAAGCATATCACTACGATTCACGGTTCATTTTTCCAGAAACTTTTCCAATTTGTCCACGTTTCCTCTATCTTTTCGAAGAAGAGGGAAAATATTTCGTAGTTATCGACCGATGATAACAGTGGTTTATTAAATTCTTCCACGTAGCGGATTTCATTGAAACGGATAATCAATATAAAAGCTGGAAAAGAGGCTGTTAGAGACAGATACGGGTAACGGACGAATGCATTGAAAGATTCAATAAGCCCCGTCGAATCCCATAGGGGGATGGATGCTACGTGTTTCGATGTTTCTGAGTATAATCCGGGTAATTTTTCACGTACAACTGCGGCGTGGCGGAACGTTGTTACTCGTAATTTGATATAAAATCAGTTTACTTTCTCGCTTGCCACCTGATATATCGGGCACGCTGAATGCAGCTGTGCCGAATAATGCGATCGTCGTTAAATTTCACACGATTGTATCTTTCGTATATATGTATGTAAGTCGAATGTGAACGAGACTCTGACCAATATAGACGTTCGTTCGCTAAATAATAGCATTTATTCGTCGAAATATACGGAATATAGGGGATGTAAACACGTTATGCAAATTTGCAATTAATGAAGTTGATTCGATCGAGGTAATGAATATCATCGTGTGATTATCACGTTTCCCGTTTTTCTCTCGTGGAAAATTCGGCTAAAAGAATAATTTCTCACTTGCTGGAAAAGTGATAGGGCGCAAAATTTGCATTTAATAAATCTGCATTGATATTCTTGTAATATTTTTATTCTATAAAAATAAAAAATTTATTTTTTTTTGAATATAATATCTCAAATTTTTAATTGATCGAATAAATAGATGTTATTTTAAATATTAATCGAGTTAATTCAAATTTCTTTTCAGAAAAATAAAGAATATTGAATAGAAATATTGGAAAGTATCGAATAATGATCATATTATAAAATAAAATGGCTTAAATGCATTGAATTGTGAAAAATTATATATTAAAAAGTACTTACCTTCGTTCCATTATCATAAAAGCTAGATTTACTGAAAAAATTTTCTTTCTTCTGCTGAACAAATATTCAAGAAAAAAGTGGATACTAAAAAATAAGAAAATCAGGATTAAAATTAATTATAAATAATTATCAAAAGACGATTGAACAAAAGGAAATTGCATGTCACGAATTATATATTTAATTACATATTTTCACCAATAGTTATATTTAATCTTTACTTTTTTTTATCCGAAAAAGATAGAATCCTCGTGTAAATCCATCCACGTCGCAACAAAATATCAGATTGGAACCGAAACCTTATTCCCTTTACACGGAAAGAAAGAAAGGAAGAGAAGCAGAAGATAGTATTAGACTGAGAACCAATCGGCGTATACCTCTTTTCCAGTGGAAAATAAAGTGTAACTCTAAAATGAGAGGCAGAAAACAGGAAAGAAAGGAAAAATATTGATGATTCCTTTTTTTACCAATTTTCATAAATTTTCTCGATCGATTATTTACGAATTAGATTTAAATATTCAGTGCCTTTTTGCGAGTTTAACTCACTTTATTTTAATTCTTAATCAACTAAAATAATATATTCATATAAAAAGATTTCATGAAATATTTTCTTTGAAATGCATAATAACAAATATTATTTAATTTAGAAACAATTTTATAAATTTATAATAAATTAACGAATTAATTTTTTACTTGCTTTGAATTATAGATACAATGTACATTTATATTACAAAAACTGGAGTGAATTTTGCTCATATAAATAAATTTCCATTGTAAATAATATATATTTTCGTATCTCGTCAAGTGGAATATTAAATGTTTAAATCAGGATTATAAAATAATTGATACAAAGATGCACTGAATTAATTTCTCTGAACTAAATGTTATGATATTTCGAAAAAAAAAGTTGATCTTAAAATACATAAATTATCAAATATTGCATTCTTATCTCCGATATAATTTTTTTCCCCACCCATATAATTCGAAAATGGACTCTCAGGAATGTAACGTTTCAAACTTATCGTAACAGTTGCGAATAAAATGTCAAGTATACATACATATTTCATGCCTGTGGGGATCAGAGATAAAAGAGGTTTAAAATGAAGAATATGATCGGTCGAATGAGCAGAGTTATTGATTCTGGACAAATAAACTTCACTGGGATATAACTTATAAATTGATACTCACATGAATTGTCCACTAGTTCTCCTTACATGATCTACGGATCGTATACGAAGAAGCTCGTAGAAAACTAAAGTATCTGAAAAGAAACGAAGAATTAGAAAGATCAATCAATTTCTCCAAACGATTAAATTTTATATTCAATTTAATAAATATCCAAAAATTTCCAAAACAATCATATTTATTCCCTTGTTTTTCCAAAATTTTTCCAAAATTTCAACCAATCTCAAAGTTTAAATCAGAATCAGTATATAAATTCTTTAAAATTTACATCGATTTACAATTTCTCATCGATTCCACTCTCCTCCTCCCTAATTCCTCGAAACGTTTTTTAAAAATAAAAATAATAAAAAAATCTCTTTTTCCACGTTTTAAATAAAACCTTCTTATTTAATAATTTACACAATTTCTCATCAATTCCACTCTTTTCCTCCCTAATTCCTCGAAACGTTTTTTAAAAATAAAAATAATAAAAAAATCTCTTTTCCCACGTGTTGAATAAAACCTTCTTATTTAATAATTTACACAATTTCTCATCGATTCCACTCTTTTCCTCCCTCGAAACGTTTTTTAAAAATAAAAATAATAAAAAAATCTTTTCTTCTGTTGAATAACCTTCTTATTTAATAATAACCTCCCTCTCTCTCTCTCTCTCTCTCTCTCTCTCTCTCTCTCTCTCTCTCTCTCTCTCTCCAGATTGAACGACGTTTTCGAACCACAAGCTACAAGCGTAATAAGAAGCAGATCGAGAGCAACTTCGTTTCGCTCATATCACCTGAAATGTGTTCCCGTAGGTAGTGGTGCTAATTATATTTACCGTACAACGCGGCACCGTCCTTGTTCGAAGTAAATAACGTATACGCGGAGGGGGGAGGGGGAGGAGGAAGAGGAGGAGGGGGAGGGGAGAGACGGGTAATAACAGGCAGAAATATGGTCGGCTAGGGAAAGTAGAACAAGCACCACGGTAGAAACACCGACCGAAGCTTATCATAGTTGCCGCATATCTACCAATTACGTTGGCTAATTCTAAGAAAGTTTTGATTAACGTACACTCTGCCAAGACCTGTTGAAACAAAATGGCCCGGCTAAGTCGATTAACCGAGCATCGAGTTCGACCGAATGCGATTTAATAACGCGAAAAGTTAGCATTTTTTGCGTTACGACGAATCATCGGTTCAGGTTAGGTTGAAAAAAGTGGGCGCGTGAGAAAATACACGAGGCAAGGTGCCTCGAGAGAAATGGAATCGACGATCACATTATGCGCTTCGAAATTTTTTGCTTCTGTTAAAATGAAATAATGTTGAGATTATTCCTTATTAGTAACGCGACGGTTATGGTTATTAATCGTACTTTTTTTGGTCATCATTTCGAAACTTTGGCAAGGCAAGAAAATTACAATATGTTGTAACGATGTTTATTTCTATTTTATCGTAATTTGATTGGAATCTTATTTAATTTGAATCTTAGATGAGAATAAAAATTTGATTTTTGGATTGTGATCGAAAAATTATTGCAAATTTTTATATTGCAATCTTACATTACTGTACATTCGTATATTTCAAAATCATCAGATTATCCTGCAAATTTTTATATTGCAATTTTACATAACTCTACATTCCTATATTTCAAAATCATCAGATTATCCTGTAAATTTTTATATTGCAATCTTACACAACTGTGCATTAGTATATTTCAAAAATCATCAGATTATCCTGCATAAGAAAATAACGAAAAAATCTCCAACTATCCATCACTTTTACATTCTCTTCGAGTTACACTACTTTCACCCCCCTCCCCAACGTCTCACTTCTCATATCCGTGCATCTATAATCCCACGAATATGGCACTTGACGAGCCATCGGGCTCGAAAGGGGGAAGAGTGTGAAGAACCGGCCCAAGGCACGTACCGCCGGTTTTCATAGCGAATTTTTAATTAAAGGCGGGGAGAAAAGGGTTCGTCCAAGGGTTCGTATCGTGGATGGAAACTTGCTAGTTTCCTCGAAACGTTTGACGAAGGATATAATCAGATCGTGGAGAAATTGTTCGCCGCGAAATTTCTCCATTCCCCATTAATTTTTCTTTTCACCAGGGTGGAGAAAGACACATCTCATCCCCCCTCTTCCGGCTTATCACCCTCTCGAAGGATTTAACGGGGCCGCTCTCTCTCTCTCTCTCTCTCTCTCTCTCTCTGGCTTCTCTTCCCCTTCCATTCGAAACTTCGTACACAGTGTTAGTTAGATCCCGAAGAAATGACTTCGAGATCTTCTGCGAGCACTTCGTTTGGCGAGCACTCGGACACGTGATTGGAATTTCGCCACGGGAAATTTCTTCGCCGAGTTTAGCGCCGGAATTGATTTCCCAACGTCTTTGAAAAGTTGATTCCGCGATGGAACATTCCGTGGAAGAATCTCTGCGATTTAATTCTTGGGGAAATTCATCGAACGAATTACTTTTTCGAATTATTATTATTATTGTTGTTGTTATTACGAGAAAAGGGGAATGTATTTGTTTGCACGCCGTAGTAACGATTGGATGAACACTTTAACGTTTCGCTTCTTATATTTTTATAAAGCGAGAAATTCAATGTTCGGAAGTGGAGTTAAATTGTTTAGAAAATTCTTTTCGTACGTGTAAATATTTATGATAATTTTCGAGGGAACGGATAGTAATATATACATGTGTAAATGATATGAAAAGATGCGTATTCGTGTACGTATACACGTTTGTTAATTCTGTATAGGATAAATTTGTTATTTATGCTTATGATTTTCAGACGTACACGTTGTGTTTGTTTCGAGTATAATTTTCACGTCGAAGAGTGTGTGTCTGGTTGTAAATAGCCTGGACCCTTTTGCGAAATTTAGCAATCAATATTAAAATTACAAGTGATTATAGTCTAAATTATTTATTTACAAGTAATTTGAGGAAGTTTCGTTAAATTTCGTTCGATACATATCGATCACTAAACTTTCAAAAAAAGTAATATCACAGTTTAAAGATCAAGAAAAATAAAAGAATAATGTAGTAATTTTTAAGTACATGATAGAACAAATTTCTTATAACATTTATTAGGCATATTTATATATATATATATAGATCATTAAAGCGATATATTTTCTATTTTATTTTATTTTTTTTTTTTAAATATTATTTCAAATTCCGTCACAAGATTTTCTATTTTTCTTTTTTCTTTTTTTTTTTTTTTTCGTGCGTATATATCTATAATCGAGAGAAAAAATTCCCCGACATTGATTGACAGACTTTAAAACAACGAAACGGTGGATATCGATGGATCAGAGATATGCGTGCTCGATTTTATTATTCTCATGATTGTCTTTTCCCGAACGAGCAAAACGAAATTGACGAATTGACACGCCACTTAAAAACCGGCGTAACAAATATTGTTGAATGAACACCGATCGAAATTGGGTGTGTATAGATTAAATTTTATCCGCGGATTATCGTCCTTCCCTTTTTCAATTTTTTCCCCCCCGCTACGTCGTCAAAATTTTTAAGGAAATTCAGCTTTCGAATATTTCGCTTATTCGAATATTTCATTCTTTTAATTAATTAAACGATAAATTAAGCGATAAACGTGATAAATTGAAATCGCAATTTAAACTTATCTGTTAAAATATGCGAGAAAATCAATTAATAAAAAGTCAAAATTCCTTATCTGTGCTGTGTTTAATCGGATACATAATATTAGAATGAATAAATATCTATCGATGTCTTTAAGAAAAGGAAAGAAAAAATTTTGATTTCTATTAGCGAAATTAACTATCCATTGAACCGAAAATCGAAAAAATTGGAATAACACGCTGCTTTCGTGTTATTATAAAAATTCGGATTCGTAGAAAATTAAAAAGTTCACTCGACTGGTCATCCAACGAGATTAAATTTAAGATTCGCAAGAATCGAGATGCTTAATGAAACCATTTCTCCATTACTTGAATCGTGTCATCGATTTTAATAATTCGCATTCGATATTTCGATCGAAAAAAAGGAGGGAAAAAAAAAAAAAAAAAAGATTTCGCAGAAATGACGCCTCCTTTGCTAATTATCAACCCCATTCTGACGGAAAACTTTTTTTTCTGCGCGATGGCAGAATGGGTCGGGTATCTATTTGTAACGAGCGTTTCGATTTTCCGTCAGAATGCTTTTAAAAGAAGGTAATAAAATGGTTTTCTTTTTTTCTTTTTTCTTTTTTTCTTCTCCCTCTTATGACGTGTACGCCGCAGATTAAAGTTTCTTTACATTGTTGTTGCAACTTCTGAAACCATTCCCTAAAACGTGCCTTCGTAACTCGTCCTATATAAATATTTTAATTAAAGTTTAAAGAATATCTAATATCCGGAGGAAAGAGGAAAAAAAAAGTGGGGAAGAAAATGGATTAACCATCCTCCGGCTATTTTCTTCTGGAAAGAATATTTTATCGTTTAATTTGAATATTTCGATATATTAATAACAGTCATTTTTATTAATGGTTTACACTATACATGATATAGAAGGAAATATGTATATGTGTGTGTATAAGAAGGTAGTGTTAAAAAGAGTAAAAGGAAAGAAAATAAAATAAGAAAGTAAAGGGATTACACGTATTACACGTTTTGAGAATTTGTAAAAGAAAAATTGAATAAATGATGGAGCAATGGAATTGATCTTGCATGTCTAAAATACGATTAATAAAATTGTTTGCAATAAAATTAATTCTATGTACGTGAAATAGAGGAAAATTTTTTGGGCATTTTTTCTCTGAGATAAAAAAAAAAGAAATAATTATATGATGATATATTAAGTAAAATTTTATTTGAGAAATAAATTTCATTCGAATGATTTATTTATCAAATATTTGATTATTTTATTTCGAGTATTTCTCTGTTGTTTGTATTCGAAGAGTTATTGTCCGATTAATGATGGTCTATTTCACTTAATTCCAGGCAACATTCTCAGAACACATTCCATGCTTGAGGAACAAAATATATTTGTGTCACGAGTAATGTAATAGTAAACAGTAATAATGTAACAATAAAGTCGTGTAACGAGTTATGTAATATTATATAATTTTTTTTATATAAA